GCATGATTGTTCTCTTCTGAGAGAGGCCTTCCCCAGCCATCCAGTTTCCTGATTCCTTGTACCCCAGGGTGAATCTGTCCTGTCACCACTTTCTGTCCTCACTAGCACTGGCCATACTTGTGGGTACTTTGTTCATTTCATTGCTTTACTTGTTTATTTTATTCCTATATTTAGGAGATTTGAGGACTAAGACTCCAGTCTCAGTTAGTGAGATTCCCTTTCTCTCTCCCTCTCTCTGTCTCTCTCTCTTTCTCTCTCTCTCAGTGAGGTAATGAAAGAAACATTTAGAATGTCAGAGAAGAGACAACATTCAGAGGGTTTTCTGATATCCCTTTGTTTTCCACTCAAGGTAGTGTCAAGTATAATCAGCTAGTACCTGTATTGGGTCCTCAGCCCTCTGTTGGGGACGAGTGGCCTATGCTTGCCTGTCCTTCATTTGAAGAGAGTAAGATTCCCATGTTCTAGAGAAAATGGGCTGTGGACACAGCCTGGTCCTGGCCATTCCCTTTGGGATGTGATCTACCTCTCTCTTCCCCACATGAGATGATTGACTCACCTTTTTATTTCTTTGGGATCTAAGTGGTAGATATCTCTGCTGTACAGTAGCAATAGTACAGAATAACCAATGTGGAAAAAGTCTCACAACAATGAGCAAACTATAGAAGCAACTATCTTGAAAGCCCCTGGTTTATTTTCTCTATATGTAATAATGTAAATTAATCCATGGGATGAATAGCCAGTCTGGCAGCAACATCTGTTCCTGGTTAAGGAAACCTTGTTCCATAGCCAAGGAGCACTGACTTGCTCCCATGAGTGCTACTGGTCCCTTCTGGGGATGTAAACAGCACCAGCACCCAGCACGATACTGACATATGGCATACGTGAGGGAGACCTGGGGAGAGACTAGGTAGACACTACCAGATCCAGACTGGAGAGGGTGGTGGCAGAAGAGATAGGGGAATAGGAAGGAATATTTGGGGGGTCAAGCAGAATTTCCAGATGGAGTGTATGTGAAGGAACAGGTGAATGAAAGCAAGTTGGCTCCTGAGATTTTGGCTGGAACACTTATAGTTTTATAGCCCAAATTCTTAAAAGATTAGACTGTTGTCTCTAGATCCTCATCTCATCCCACAAGATTCTGTCCCCCACTGTGCTACCACAGCAAATCTGTTATTGTTTCACATGATGTTACCAGTGCCCTATTTGCACATTTAATTAATTGGGTTTATTTCCTATTTCTGCTAGGTAACATGTGGCATCATCAGTAATACCCTCTTTTTAAAAACAAAACAAACCTTCCTTCACCAATGCAAAAGCAATATGGGCTTTTTAAAAGAACTTGGACAAAATAGAAGAGCCTAAAAAATAAATTTAAATTATTCATAACCCTACATGTGAAAATAACTGATATATGTCTTGCGCATATATGTGTATATGCCTACACAGATTTAATGTTCTGTGCAAAGTGGTATCTTATTGTATGTGACAGGATAGTGTGAATGCTTTATGTCATGATTTTAGTAACTGTTCCATCATATGAATCTGGTAAATTTGTGTTAGCAATTCCTTCAGTTATATTTTTGTGACCTCAAAGTTTTGGGTATTATAATTTTTTTGTAATATATTTGTACAATCTGATTATTTCTTTAGAAAATATGTCTAGAAGTGTAATCACTGTTTTAAAAGGGCTTATATATTTCTTTCCTGAAGTGAAATGCTTTTTTCTTCTAATTCTAGACACAACATAGGCTTAATGGCAAAAGGCCTAAGCAGTTAAACAAAACACAGAATGATATAAGGAAACATGCAATAACCTCTCAGACATAGACACTTAATTATGTGTATAACACCAAAAATTTTGGTATGTAGCTCAGCTTTTTCTTTAGAGTTGCTTTCAACACATCTTGCTAGTTGTATTATCACTATTTCTGTGAACAGCGTAGGAATGTCCACTTCCTTATATCCCTAAACTGGATTATTCCATTTGCTAGACCAAAAAGGGTCTCATTTTAATTTGAACTCCTGTCATAATTAGTGAGGGTGAGCTAAAGATTCTTGTGAATTTCCTCTTTATGTCCTAAGATATTTTGTTGTGGTCACCTCTTATTGATTCATAAGTCGCCTTTTTTATAAGTAAAAAAAATTAACTGTATCTGTAACAAATTACTTCTTTCCAGATTGTAATTTGTCTGTCAGTTTTGTCTGTGATTTGAAACCTTTGTATAGTCAAATCTGTGAGGCCTCCAACTTCTAATTTGGCTTAGAAAGTCTTTCCTACTTTAGCATTATAGATATTCATGTGTAGTTTCTTTAAATTGCCTAATTTTCTTTTTATGTTTTAACCATGGGTTTAATTTTGGAATGTTTTATAAGAAAGAATACACCTTTATTTTTTTCCAAAGAGTAAGTTTGTGCTGTGACCATTTTTGTCATAATTATCCTTCTATCATCTATATTCAATAAAAACAATTACTTGGGTCATTTTTACATTTCCTCTTTGCTTCCTTAACTTTTTGCTTATCTTTCCCTGGACCAATGTGCCAGTTTTAATTACAATAGCTTTATAGTTAGCTATGTAGTTAGCATATCAAATGTGCTTATTATCTGCCAAGAGTTGAGTCTATGCATTTTAGAGACCAATAGCTAGTAAATAGTAGAACCAGGAGCTGAGCCCAAATTTCCTGTCTCTAAAACCCATACATGCAACCAATCGAGTAGTTTACTCCTCAGGAACAATTCTGCTCAATATCTAAAAGTATATCCCTTGTGGATATTATTTTCTAGTGTTTTCTTGCCTATCACCTAGGCAAGATGAACTTTAAAATCAGTCACCATCTCCTCCTACTCAAAGAGAAAAAAATACCTTTGAGATTTCCTGGAATTTTGATTAAAATTGCTTTAATCTTAACAAATTGGGAAGAATTTAGATCTTTAAAATATGGAGTCTTAAGGGGAAAGTGTTCCATCTCTTCATTTATATAGCTGTTTTATGTCTGTCAGTAACACTTCGTAGTTTTCTTTATGTGGCTTTTTACCTTTAATTTTAAGTATTTTTCACGCCATTTTTCTTCCTTAAGTTCTTTATACATTTTCCCCCATTTCCTTCCTACCTTGGTCATGCCTTTGGCTGGCCCCTTGGCCTCTGCTCTTCCTCAGTGTTAGGGTTTCTCAGGGTTTGGTCCTGGGGCTTTATTGTGAACCAGTCTTGCTTCCTGAACGATCTATCCCTTCTTGTAGCTTCAGCTACCACTTCACCTACAGCCTGGCCCTAATAAATTGCCCCTTGTCTTCCAGTTACCTGGCCTTATTTCCCTGTGTCATGTACCTGCCATTCTCCCTGCCCAGCACATGTGTCTCCCCTTGCATCTCTCAGTCTGTTGTACCCATAGTGAGTTAGAAAAATAGAAACTTTCACAGAACTGGCTTCTTAGAGGGCAAAGTTTTCACTTACTTATTCTCACCCAGCTGCATAACCCTGTCACCCTAGTCTTTGTCACTACTTGGCTTGGAGGAAGCAAGTGGGTAAATGGAGTCATGGATAAATAGAGCCATATTGGGATGATAGGAGAAGAGTCTGACATGTTCTGGCTTTGCCACTCAACAGCCACATGACCTTAGGCGGGTTAATTAACCCTGTGAGCTCCCTTTCCCTTTCTAGAAACTGAACTGATAGAACTCAATACAGTACTGATGAAGTGAGACTTATAGAGAATCTATTTAAACTTTTCACATAGTACCTGCTACCCAAGAAGGACTACAAATCCTTTTCTTGCTCTTGGAAAGCATCCTGGTTGAAAGGGAGGTTGATTGTGCTAAAGACAAAACTGGGGAGGATTTCTTGAAAAGAGACATTTGCTGGCAGAGAAATTCAGTGTGGGCATTCATGCAGCAGGGAGTGCATGTAGGTGTTCTCCATCTGCGTGGAGGCAGAGGAGTAGCCCAGGTCACCTCCAGTGAAAACTGTTTTGTCTCTTCTCTTTTCAGGTTCCAGTGGGATGGGGGCTTATCACGGAAAACATAGTTTTGATACTTTTTCTCATCAACGTCCCTGTTTATTAAAAAGTTTGAAGAGAGAAGGTGCTAACAAACTCCGGTATCCTCCCAACAGCCAGTCAAAGGTGGATTGGGCAAAATTTTTCGTGCTGAAACAGTTCAACAAAGGAAAACTTGGGCTTCTGTTGCTCACTTTCCTGGGTGTGGTGGCAGCAGTGGTTATCAAGGTGAGTCCCCTTTCCTCGGGAGCTGCCGGTTCTGGTCCTGCCCCAGTGGCTGCCACCTTTACTTCTTTTCTCCTGTCTTAGACCTTCTCTAGTTTTATAAATTAATTCTATCAAGACTCTACATAAACTTTTAGTGTCTCACACAGGTTCAGTGTCCAGCTTCTTGTTTTTATGAATAAAGTTCTTGGCACACACCCATACTCACTTCTCATCTTTGCCTGCTTTCCTAATACTATGGCAGAGTTGAATAGTTGTGATAGAGATTGACCAAAACTTTAACCGAAAAAGTTTGCTGACCTCTGGCCTAAGAGTTTAAAATACTGGAATTTGCTTACAGAGTCCTGAGCTGTCTAACCCTCTGATCCTTATGGTACCCGACTTCCCTCTTCAGCTTCAGTTTCACTCTTGAATGTGCATGAACTCAGCATGCCACGGGGATGGGAGAGAGCATTCTGTGGTGGACGGTAGTGGTGAAGGATATTTTATGAGGCTTGAGTGTTTCCCCCCATAATTAACTACTAGATAATGTTTGACTTTGTTGATTGGTTATTCTAGAGATGGGCTTAGCAAGAGGCCCTTGAGAAAGCTGCCTTCTCCAGGCAGTTTGTGTATATTTGGTGTGAAGGAGAAAATCTATGGGGTTGAAAGTTAGAATGGAATGGGGGAAGGCACCTGTGTCATTGTATCCCCTGGCCAGCCAAGGAAATGCATTGAAAACATTTGACAACTTCCAGTGAAGAATGGGCATGAAAGAGAGGCAAGATTCAAGTATTTAATGGAAATTAATATATTTATATCTATGTTTTGTGTGAAATTTAAAGGGGGGGTTGGCTCGTCTTACAGTAGCACAGTTTTGGTGGAACTGGAGATACCAGTTACATTTGAAATCATTTGGGTTTTCTCAGAAATACCGAGCTGTGCTGAGGAGAAAGGCCCTGTTGATTTGTCTGGTAGTTCACAGACTGCATTGGTCCAATAAACAGTGATGGACAGGACATTTCAAATCCAACTCTGTCTTTTAAGAGTGAGGTAGGAACTCCTTATTTTCTTTCTATGCATATGGTAGGCCAAGTTTTTGGGTATTTTTTATTTTGTTTTGTTTTTTGGTACTTGTTTTTCTCCAACTGGAGGCTTAGGGTTACTGAAAGTAGAGTGTTTAAACTTACCCGTCTCGTTTCAGACTTTGCCGAGAGTATTGAAGTGTTAAAATTCACCTTACTCACAGATTTAAATAGGACAGGGTGGGTCACTGGGAATCTAAGAGAAATGTATAGGGGCAACTGCTGAGCCTACATCATTTCTAGAAAAAGAATGGCCATCTATGAGCCTCATTTCTCTTCCCTACACACTCAGCTTTCCTGGAGGAAAGGCCAGCTCTTTCAGACCTGTAGTCACCGTTTAGACTTTGAACTCCATTTCATTATTTAAGAATAATTTTTAAATCATTCGGTTGTTCAGATTAGCTTTGAGTTTTTAAAAAAGTTTGACTTTGGAATTCATAGTGACAAATGTATTGAATCAAATATAACTTGCAATTTAGATGGTTTCTACTTTTACTTCTATAATCATCCCTAGGGTGGAGATGTGGTTGGAGCCAGGCTTGGGTTTCTGGTTCTTATCTGCCTATTTTGCTCTTCTCCTGAGACAATGATCCCCTAGCCTTATATGCATCTTGATCGGGGTGGAATTTTTCAGCCTATTGGACAATATGGAAAACCAGGCTGGGTCTGTGCTCCCCAGGCTCACCCTGTCCCCAGAAGACTTGCCCAGGTGCAGTGTACTGTACCAAGTAGGTTTGAATTCACAAGAAGGGTTTGGCAGTCAGGTCTTCCTCTGTGCAGATCTAGAGAAGCAATAACATATAGAATCCTTTAGCTGGGAACAAGAATTTGTGAGTTTGATTCTTGGCTCAGTTATTGGCTTAATTAAGACTTTGATCAAGGTCTTTCCTGAGCCCTCACTTGGGCCTGAGCTATACAGTGCAGAAGTGGGCATTGGTGACTTTCTAGGCTACTTTAAACTCTCTCTCCACGCTCCTTACTACTAACTGACACATTTGTTGCTTTTTTTTTTTTTTTTTTTTTTGATTCACTATTGGTAGGACCAGTGAAATTTGGTTTTCTTTGCCTCTTTGCTTGCTTCTCTGCTCTGGTTTCTGAGATTTTAATCTTCTTTTTATCAAATCATGTTTAATTTTAAATGAATGAATGAATCTATATTGTGTATTTACTTAAGTTTTTTTTGTATTTACTTTAAGTTCTTTTTTTTTTACTTTTAATTGACATAATGTACACATTTATGGGATATACGGTGTGTCATTTCAACACTTGTATAATTTTTTTTTCTGTACTGGGGATTGAACCCCAGGGTGTTTTATCACCGAGCCATATCCTCATTCCTTTTTATTTTTTATTTTGAGACAAAGTTACTTGCCAAATTACTGAGGCTGGTCTCAAACTTGAGACCCTATTGCCTCATCCTCCTCAGTTGCTGAGATTACAGGCATGTGCTACCACATCTAGCTACTTGTACACAATTTTTTAAAAAAACTTTGTTGTAGTTGGACACAATACCTTTATTTTATTTTTATGTGGTGCTGAGGATCGAACCCAATGCCTCGCACATGCTAGGCGAGCACTCTACTGCTGAGCCACAGCCCCAGCCCCTGTACACAATTTTTAATAAGATCAGGGCAGCTGGTGTCTGTCATCTCATATTTATCATTGCTTTGTGTTAGGAATATTCAAAGTCCTATTAGCTTTTTTGAAATATACATTTAGTTGTCAATTCGATAAGCCTTCATTTATTGTAATCATAAACATTTTTCTGAAATGGCTTTTCTGCACTTAATAGTTTACTCATTTTGTTAGATGTTTGATTTCATTTTATTAATTTACTAGAGTCAGAATGAATTTGGAACATAAGTCCACAAAGTTCAAAAAAAGCTTATAAACTACAGAAAGCATCATAGGTAGTCTGGGTTTGAAGGGTGGAAAAACATCATAGGTCCAAGTTGATAAATGCCATTGGCCTTTTACAATTAAATAGGATCGTACTTCGGTGGCTTCAGTGGATGGAATAACTTCATTCCTTTTTCTGAATTTAGAAACAAGTTTGTTTATCAGTTTTCAAATTGTGCAGATTTCAGCTTCCTGTTTTCAGCGCCAGCATAATAGATGAGTGTTTTCAGCCCTAGCTTTTACCTACATGCTGATTCTGAATAGAATAGCCTCTCTTGCTATTGTTACTGTTGAGGAAGGGTGTGACCCTGGGTCTTCAGTTAAAACCACACTTAGACTTCATAAGGATGCATAGCCTTTATTGTACAATACATTTAAGAGTCTCTTAAGATAGGGGGTATTTAACTGTGTTCCAAGACTGGTTGTGGGTGACTTTTAAATCAGTTGAGTAACCTAAACCACTTTCTCCTCTTTCCAGGCTGGATACTACTGAAGAATGAGTCTATTCAACCTCTTCTACTGAATTATTCCTCTATAAATGGCTAATGAACTGATAATTTTTCACTCCTACCAAAATCAGAAAATATGCACATATGCCATGATGAAACCTAAAGTCATTACCACTCACCTTTAATAAAACTTGCCATTTCAGCCAAGTCCTGACATTCCCCAATAATAAGAATAGTTAGAGAATTTATTCTAGATGTGCTAGGGGCAGGAATGTGTTTGGCTAAATCCAGACTCCTTGAAGACTTGAACCTGCTCAGTGACTTTCATCCCAATTCATAGGACATCCAATCCCCTGCCCCTGCTGCCGCCATCAGAGTGAAGCTTTCAAGAGCTCAGTACTGCCCAGGGCTACCAGTAGTCCTCTGTAGTACAGAGAAGAAAGGTTAGTTATTCCTAGTTCCCTTTGAAGTTTGCTGCACTAAAATTGGGGTTGGGGGAGCAAGGCTGGGGTGGAGGTGGCCCCTCATCCATTGGGACTTGAGAACTTGACGTCCAGCAGTTAGAGCTCTTCATCCTTTTTCATTTGTTCTCTATCATGTGCAGGTAGTTGGTTGCTACAGTCTGCAGGGTTATCCATAAATGCTCTTTGTGAATAATATCACTCAAAATGTCTTGTAAGCTCTAAGGGCTTGCTAGAAAATCCTTGCCAGTTTCCTGCAAGTATCACCTGTCTTTCACATAACGTTGGACTTACATCTTATTGAAATCTAACTAGCACTTTTTAAAATGCTCTGATTAAAGTAAGTGTGAAAATATTGCCATGAGCAGTAGCATATGCCTGTAATTCCAGCTACTTAGGAAGCTGAGACAGAGAATTGCTTAAGTGCAGAAGTTCTCAGCCAGCCTAGGCAACATGGTGGTCCCACCTGCAAATAGTCTTCTCAGGACCCTAAAGTTGCAAGTCAGTGATCTTCAAGGACAAGTATTTATTTAATTATCTGATTTCTAGAGTACCATACAAGTAAATTTCACTCTTTTAAACCTCAGAGAGGTTCCTTTCTATTCTGTTCAGCTTGCAGGACTTAAAATGGGGGAATCATTTCCTGTCACAAAAAAAAGAGGCCTTGGATATTAGGACTTTGGGGCTTGAGAGCTTCATAGGGAAGAGAGAGTAGATAATATAGTGAAGTTTAGAGAATGCTGTTTAAGTGAGTTGGCCATACTAAAAAGAATGGAAAAGGGTAAGAGGATCTCCTGAACAAATGGGTAGATCTTCTCTCTAGAGCCTTGCATCACCAAGGCCTGAGGTCCCTCATCCAAGAGGGAAAGTGCCAAAGGAGGCCTATGTGGAACGGGGTGTTCTCTCCAGGGAATGTTATGCTGTGCCTTGGAGCTCCTGGTTGCAGGACCTCAGTTCCTTTCCTTGAATTTGAAAAAGAGACTTGGCCCACTCAATGACAAAATATAATTTGCACTATCAAATGTATAATCAATTTTGTTAAGTAATTTGTTCCATTAAGGCTGTCTGCAGTATGGTATATCTTTATCATCTCACAAGAATTAATCAAGAATTAATCACTGGCCTAATTTAGGAAAACAGTTACTTAAACTGTGGTTCTGATAGAATGATCAATCATAGAATATCTTACATAAAATTTCAATATGGAATTCTCATTTAGTATATTGTATTTTGTAATTTCTAGTTAAGCTAAATTATTGGCTTATCTACTAATATATTCTCTAAAATAAATGGTTATATTTCATAAAACTGACATGAATTTTGATATCATTTTTCATGTGGAACCTCGGACATTCCTGTTGGAGATGATCCTTTGATTGTAAGTTTTCTTCATTTTTTGCTCTTGTCTAGCAAAGGTGGTATTTGTTAACTCTCTTTATTGTGCTTTCTCATTTTAAATTCTTAGCCAAGAAAATTTTCTCAGACTTTGGTTTCTGGTTACTTGGGGTGGAGTTGTGGGGGCGGGTGCAGAGAGGGAGAGGGAGAGGGAGAAGGAGAAGAGAGATACTGATTGGTGGCTACCTGTGGCCTGATTCACCATTGAACCCAAAGATATTCACCAATTCCAGGCCTCAAAAGCATCCAGGAATTTGGATCAGCACTGGATCCCATCCTGAGGCTCTGTGGCAAAATCATCTTTACTGCTCTGGTTTATATCATATCACTGCTGTAAGAAAAAAAAACTGCAATGTGAGCAAGTACTTGTCCAAGTCCGTGATATTGAAAATGTTAGTGGGATGAAAGACTGCAGATCCACAGACAACCCCTGCCCCTGCCAGGGCCTTACAGCACCCATGCCTGCAGGGGGCTGAGGGGTCCCCTGGGCAGGACGCACCACCCGCTTCTCAGAGGGTTATAGAGGCTCTGTGAATAGACAGGCATCAGGCTGTGCCTAGAACAAGTCTAGGCACAACTTATAATGTTAGTGGTTTTTGCAATTTTTGTTTTATTTGAATCTTTAATTTGAAGCCATTTATATTCTGTGTGCTGTGTGTGTGTGTGTGTGTGTGTGTGTGTGTGTGTTTTACTGGGAGTAAACCCAGAGGTGTTCTATGAATGAGATGCATCCCCAGCTCCTTTTATTTTTTGAGACAGGGTCTAAGTTGAGAAGTGAAAGCTGCCTCTTAAAACACTTATCCAAGAGGATGATGGGCAAGTAATTTCATTACCTTATTTAAAATCTAAGCACACTCATGGGTACTTATCTGGTTTCAGGCTAGTCGGGTTGAGCTTTTTACTTTGATTTTCAGTAGGTCGGCCATCACAGAAAGGCTTGGGTTTTACGTTTCTCTCTGTAACTATGGAGGGTGCTTATACTGGCCAACCACAATGTCAGGAATAGAGGCTGAGGCTCCAGTGGCCCCTTCACATTCCCCCCAGCTTACACCCCAGACCACTGCCAAGTCCTGATGCATTCAGGCACTTCCAGCTGAACAGTCACTACCCATGCTGGTCAGGGGCAACCGACTCACTCACCTCCTCTGCAGCTAGCTTTCTGTCCAACTGGAAGGGATAGGTTTTTTTTTTAAAAAAAGTAAAAAGTGTCACAGGCCAGCATTCCTATCCAGAGGCCTGTTGGAGACAAGTGCCAAAGTACATGTCAGGTGACCACCCCAAGCCTCTCCTGACTTCCTAGCACCACATGCCACAATTCTTATTCCAATCACAAAGATTAGCAGAGTGCCCAGAGGGAGCGGATGATACATCATATATTTCAGTGTTCACAGTGGCTCCAAAAGGATTGCTTCCCAGGTACTGTGCTGTAGGTATGCTGGGAGAGTGACAAGGGACAAGAGCCCCAACAGTTTACATGGCATTGCTTTATTTGTATCACTTAATTCAAACCCCGAGGAGGCTGTCATAGGGAGACCTGATCTAATGCATGAACATAGAATAGTGTGTTTTAGACAAAGATCCCGAGTCCCCACACTTAACCTTCTAGTGTTTTAGCTCATTAGAATGTAAAGGTGGAACCAGTGGCCAACCACCAGCTGGTCTGGGA